ATAGCTGTGAATGTTTCGGTTTCTTTTCAAGTCTTGAGATCATCAGACATAGCAGAAGGTATGCAATGTGTGGTCAGAATATCTAATGTGGTTTCCTTCGCTGTCTTCGTGTGCAGAACAACAATCTGTAAAATCCCCAGAGAGTTTTAGCTAAAAGCTTGTCATAAGTTATGTTATAAAGCTAAGTGAGATCTCATCAGAGAATAGTACCTGATCATAATCTAGATTAAATTCCATGTATTCATCATCACAATTCTCCACCATCTCAGCCAAACCTTTCAAGTTTTTCACAGGTTTACCATTGAAAGCCAGAACCTACACAGCGATTACAAACCCGTTTAGAGGGATAAATACATCGACAAAGTAACAAACGGTAATGAAATTTTACAAACCTGGGTATTGACAATCTCCTCATAACCAATGTTGATGTCAGAAACAAGAACCTGCAAGTTGTGATATGGATGTTGAGGTTTCCGACATCAAACGGAAATATTAGTAACTGAGAAAGGAGTTGAGAAAAGAAACCAACCTGTGACACTACAACAAGCTGCTCGTCTACAGATTGAGCCATTGCATGAAGATGTTTCTCCAATAGCTTGACAGGTGCATCAAACTCGTATTCTTTTCCATACTGCAAAACGTATTAATGGGAATTGGTTATATAGACTGTGGATGGATGTATGTGAGAGAGCAAAAAAGCAAGGAGAGAGCGAGTAAAGGACCTCAGATCGAAGATATGGCACAGAGACAGTTGTAAATACAAATCCAGCAACGATGAAGTAGGAAGGAGGTTTGCCACTTATGTGTGCAGGGATTAGCCTCTTGTGGATTGCAAGTTTTATGTTGAACTCAAGTATCTCTTTGTTACGTAGAACCTTCACAAGAGCAGAATCGCCAGTGTACTTTTGAGATATAAGATAGCTAAAGCCGATTCGTTCTCCATGCCTAAACGGAACTGGAAAAAAAAAAAACAAGAACAGAAAATGCTAAAGCTATGGATGTCTAGACATAACCAGAAAGAAGCTCACTCATTGGTTCCATGGATCCAAACAAGTAACTAACTGTGAGAATTATTACCAGTTCCGTCGTTAGCAATATTAACTCCGTCAAAGCTAAGGATGATATCGGATGGCTTCAAAACCTGTGACTCCGGGGCGGTTGGCTCGATTCTTCTTATCCGCACTCCCTTTTGATGAGATTCCATTCCCATTTTCTTACGCAAGTCTGGATTTTCCATCTTCTGCCACTCAATCCCAATAACAGGAAAACCTAAAACAGTACAAGTATGAGAACGACAATAAATTTATACAAGATAACAAAACAGCAGAAACATTGTGAGGACCTGTGTATTTATCATGCTTCTCATAATCTTGAATGAAATGTACAATCACCGGTGTAGGTATGACATAACCAATATTCTCAGCATCTTCGTGTTTCAAAGACTGAAAAGCAATGCCGACACATTTTCCTTTGTCGTTAAATGCAGGACCACCAGAATTCCCGGAATTTATAGCTGCATCGATCTAAATAAAACAAACAGAAATCACTATTGTAAGTACCCCAAAACTCCCTGCTAGTCAGAAGAACAATCAAAACAACCGTAGTAAAATGTGTTTTCAAACCTGCAAGCCTAAAAGCTCGGTCGAGCCATGCACATAAGACAATATCTCCATACGCGAAACAACACCACTTGTTACAGAGATTGTATCACCACCGATTGGATAACCAACAACAGTTACAGCATCTTGCAAAGCTGGTAAATCTCCAAACTCCACAGGTGATACTCCTTCCCAAAACTCATCATCAGTAACTGTCAACAAAGCTACAATAATCCAACAACAATACATTCCATTACTTTCACATTTTCCATTGAAACTAACAACAAGGAGAAACTACAAGAAACAGATGCAGAAACTAGATCCATACCAATATCGCATTCGGTTCCAATAGCCAAAACCGTCGCTAAGTACTTCGTATCAGAGCCACGTTTCTTGAGCTTAACTTGAGTATGATGCTCAACGGAATGTGCATTAGTCAAAACTCTTCTTCCTCCGATAATGAATCCACTACTACCAGAGCTATACTGACGTTTCCTTTGCCATGGCAAAGAGAAATTAGGCTCAGTATGAACACAAAACACTTTAACAACAGCATCCATCGAAGGCACAACTTTCACAACAGTTTCCCAACTCGGAGCAGCAGGAATCGATTCCGTCGCCGTCGAAACAATCATCCCATTGTTACAATCACCGTTCTGATCAGCGTGATGATGATGACGAGACGATCTCTGACCAATTCCTCCGCCGCCGCGTTGTTCGGTGGTTTCCGATTGGTTGTTCAATCGGCGTTTCTTGCCTCTTCCACGGTTGCGTCGAGACGGAGATGGGTTTGTTTCGGAAGCAGAAACAGGCTCAGGTGATTGAGGTAAAGCCGATTCGTTGAACTGTGTTACCGAAGCTTCTTTAACGTCGCCGCCGGCGTTTTCCGACGAGGAAGCATCTTGTCTTTTGTGTTTGCGTCCTCGTTTTTGAGAAGTCTTCATCTTTTCTTCAACCCAGAAGGAAAAAAGTGAGCTTTTTCCCCTCTGAGAAACTGAAATTGAGATTTCCAGAGGAAGGCTTTCGCGACGCGGCTAGGGTTTATTATAATCGGAGAGTGAGGTAATGGCTAGGATGTAAGAAACGGCGATCAGTTGTCCCCGTCGTGTCTGAATATAATAAATTGGGCCACTTATTAAGCCCATTAGCTAAAACATAAAGATTTTGGGCTTTTTAAATTACCCAATTTATCATGTACCATAGGCCGGTTCATTAGGGTAAAAGGTAGCAGAACGATCAGACTATCCATCCAAACGGGAGGAGTGACAAAGGTCGTGAATTTCTGGTGGCAGATCATCCCATGATGACATATACGACGTAATCATGGGAATGTTTAAGATAAATTCTATGAGTATCTTCTTATCAACTTACCACATATACATAAAGTTACACTGGCTAAACAGAATCAAAACAACTCATGGAACAAAAAAGGAGTTCCGAATTTGCTTTATGGTCAAGCATAAGGTCAAGAATCCCGTGACATAGTTTAACACAAAGATGAAGCGGTTAAAAGTGAAATTAAACTGGAAACCTGAGAATGAGCGATCATAGCTATTACATATCGCGGACGCTTGCAAAGAGGAGAATGCACCAGCATGCCACTCCGTAAACTCAATTTGCATAGACGAAAATCACTTTGAATCAAGTTTGGAGCCAAGTTGGACGAGGTAATCAAGGGCGAGCTGATATCTTTTTGAAGGAAAATGTACATACTTTCTTTCGATTAGGCTGCGGAAGATATGCCCGACATCAGCATTGATGTAACATGTCACGAGTTGAACTTCGATCCAACATTCAACCTAGTGAAACAGAAAAGAAGGAATAGATTGATGAGGGTCAAATCAATCATTGAAGTGAAATACCCCAATTTACTTGCTATTAAGACAGGGAAATGGCGAGTATATGTTGACTTTTTATTTCTTCACGCATCTAACGATGTCCCTTTCTCTTCCCTGCAGAACTAATGCGACATGTTTTAGTGTCGAAGAAACGTTTTCACATGTGAGTATGAATGGAGGGAGATACCGAAAGATGACAAAGACATGAGTACACTGTAAGAGAATCAAGGGGAGAAGGATCATATACTCTCAACCACTAGTCCGAAAAACCTTGAGCCCAAAATTTATTCATATCATTTTCATTTACATTTACTGGTAAGTGAAAGTGCAATTCAGCAATTCCGCATATTATGAACGAAGGCTTGACTAAATTAGAATAGTCCACAAGCTTGGTGGAAATGAATCCAAAAAAAATAAGGCTAGTTGGTGGAATTTCATCTAAAAATTCTTAACCATATTCATTACCGACTCTTAAGTCTTAAGACTAAAACACTATTTTCCCACGAAACTTCGACTAAGAAAAATACAAACTAATTAACTTTTCCAAGAAAATTGGATTAACTAATGTATACTAATTCGACAATTAATGATAAAAAGAACTTCTAATCCAAATC